CCATTATTAACAAGATCCATACACAGGGTTTTCACCATTTCCAGTTAGCATAGTTTTGTGCACGCATTTCTTTGGTCCACGCTTCCCATCCAAGACACTCTGGAGATGTATAGGAGTCTGAATATGGATCCATGATCATTCCTCAGACTGCAATCAATTCTCAGCACACAATGCAATGCTCAGGATTTAGCCTTCATTAAGTTCCAACTGAAGGGGTAAAATCCTGTGCTATTTTGGATGAGCCAAAGATTAATACTGCAGTCTGAAGAACACATATGGGTCCAATGTGATCTCTCACAAACCCCACAAACTGAACATGCTGGGACAGGCTGTTTTGAGAGCTTGCTGTTTCGTCAATTGTCTTAAGTCTCAACAGATCAGTTCCAGACTGATTTGCAACCAATTCATTTCATCACATACTGATTTATAAGCAAGCCTGCACGTGTGTCATTACAGATTCAGGGCCTCATCCGTGGCCCATTGAAGTCAATGGCAAGAGCTTCTTTGCCATTAATGGGAGCCAGATAAGTCCTTTCCATCAAGCTTTGATGAAACTATGCTAATCATCTTTAGGTCAAGGCTCTCAAATCCAACCTAAAACCCCAGTCACGGTTTCCATAAAGTCAACATCCAATGTAATAGTTTTAGAAATACGGCCTGCATTCTTTAAAACCTGATTATGGTACCACTGGGCTAGCCCATGAAAACCTGAATGCAAGATACAAAACTAAAATAACCAGAACTCAATAACCTATTTTCTGTTCACACTGGTGAATGCAAAGTAAACCTGCTTTATTAGGGATGACAAAATGCACTGCATTTAAAACACTCTTTACAAATGAACAATATGATATGGGTTCTCACCAGGTTTCAGATCCATCTATTTCTGGGTAAAGAGGAAACAGAAACCCAGAATTGTTCATGCTGCGATATGTGGTTGGAAGGTACTGATCCAAAGGGCAAGTAACACAGGCCAGGATCTTGTATCTATATGCTGATCCTGACTAATGTTCCTTTAAAAAACAGAAACAGTGAGGCATCCAAGACAGCACAAAAGTAATTGACACCTGCTTGAGATGTACTGCATTGTGTAAAGCAGACTGCACACTGTACACTGCCCAGAGACCTCTGCATAACCTTGGAACAGGGAGGCTGGCTACAGATGCAGCCTTAGCCTCGGGACACGAGCCGGTACTGTGAGTTCCCTTGCTCTCTCAAAATAAAGAGGGCTGGACAAGATGCAAGTGACCCTTTTTATGACTGAAAGCAGCTTGTTGAAGAGATCTAGCTTGGAAAGACTTCTTTGGTCCTCACTGAAGGAGAAACAAAGATCTCGTACAAACCCCAACATACAAGAATGGACTGGGCAAAGACCAGAGGCAGTGATCCTGCATTGGCCCCTGGAGATGGCATGCACTGAGCGACACAGCAGTCCTTTTCCATCTCTAGTTGGTAGCTGATTTCTCTCCCGTGTAGCCTCGAACTCCAATGGCATTGATAAGCCTGCATGCCTCAATCAGCAAGATTTCCCATCATCTGTACAAAGTGCTTTCTTACTGGTAAGCCCTAAAGCTTTTTTCCTTCCTCAATCATTTTAGGTAGTTACTGCTTGTTGCGCTGCTAGCAACTGCTGAAAAATAATTCCCTTCCTAGGCTTCCTTTGGTTAAGTCCTAAAGCCCATTCATTCACCCTCTTCCCCTACATCCTATGCATCCGTTTTCCTTTGCTTCCCCTGAACAGCCTCAGAACAGGAGAAAATGCCCTTGCCCTGCATGGGGAATACCAGGAACCATACCAGCTAGTTCCCCCAATAAAACCGCCTCTCTCCCAGCAAGGCAGGAAGAATTATGAAGAGTGAGAATTGTAGCACATGTCCTCTGAGCTTGTCCTCCAGGAGACCCTTCTCTGGATCCTCTTCTGCGTTTTATAAGCAGATGTTTGAGAGGAAGGTCAGTCTGTTGCTGAACACAGCTGGCCAATTGTGTCCCTTTCCCCCCAGTGCCATGCAGAGGCAATTGGTTGAGTCACCAGCCCATGTATGAAGCTATTGGTTATACAACTCAGTAGGATGTTCACTTTCCTTGGCAGTTACCTGCTCATTCCTGCCCTCTCCCCATAATGCCATTTATCTCCCAGCTACTTGCCATGTGCCTGGAGTTGGCTTGACTTCTCTCATCAGCTTAACCTCACCACTCCCAGAGGTCAGATGACAAGCCACCTTTACATTCAGACACTGCTAATAAGCATGGATCCCTCTGGCAAAAGGTTCTGGCTGAATTGTAGAGAGGGGCCAGGAAAGTGATATCAAAGGGGAAACCTGCACCACTCCCACCAAGCCTGGGGTTTGCCTGCTCCTAAGAATAGCAATACAGAGGGAGATTCACAGGCATACAGGGCACTTCAGAGCCTGAGGGCAGTTCTCTGATCCTAGAGAGCCAGGTAACATCAATAGAGTCCATTTAATTACGCCAGACTTATACCAGAAAGCCGGAGATCAAACCCTATCCCAGGAGCTACATGGATGCTATATATAATGTGTGCGCTAGATGAATTTTGTACTGGAAGAATTTTGTAGCATAGGCATAAGTTAAAGAGACGTTCAAGAGAAAAAGATATCAATTCCAGAAGGACTGGTATAAAAAGATGCAGCGAGCCAAGCAAGACAGACCAAGGAGAACACAAGGAGCACTTGCCGGCAAGGGCCCGGACCCGTCTCCACATAGGGCCAAGTCTCCCCGCACAGAATTCGGCCAGTTCATAATGAGATTGGACATGTTTATACCTGCTTCTCCTCAAACAACCATGCCACCTTCCCTATGCCCAGGTCTGCAACTGCATGCAATGCTGGAATTAGCCAACACCACTGTTTTAAAGCCGAGCTGCAGACTGTATTGCTCTAAAGGGCCATACTTCCCTGGGAACAGCCCTGAATAGACTTCAGGTAGCATCACCTTGGGCTCCTGCAGTAAAATTCCACTCTTGCGCCGAGGGGCAAGGTCAGAATGAGGCTGGAAGTGCACCTTCACCAGACTTAAACCTGGCTCTAATCTGCCAGATGGCACAGGGCTTCGGTGCTGCTATTTGTTGCTTCCAACCTCTCCTCTCCCAGGCAAAGGGGGAAAGAAATAGACAAGATAAAAATCAAGGCAAGGGAGCAGGGTTTGTGGATGACAGCGTCAATTCGCTTCCCACCAAGGGGCAAAACGCATCTCTACCTGGCAGGAGGTAAATTGCACTGTGACATTATCCACGGCTTCCACCAGTTGCTTTGGTCCTGACAGCTTAGGGAAGAGAGGCAGCAATACCAAGGAGGAAAAAAAAAAACAAAAAACAAACAACCCACCACTAATAACAAAAAACCTAAAGAAACTCCACACAAAAGACACTGGGAGCCGTCAGCTTTCAAAGCCAGAAAACAGGCTTCTTGGTTTGTTTGCAGGGGATCAGACAACAAAAAAGGCTACAGGAAGATAATTTGTTCTCACCAGGCTGGATCTGACCCCTTAAAGGCACAGGAATCAGTTGCAGAAGAGATTGCCACCCTTAATTATTTTGTGATATCTCTTTATGCAGAAGGGACAGGGAAGCAGGGCGGGCTGGGACCGTAGCTCAGTGGATTAGTTACTGGACATTTACATGTGAAGCCGATTGAAATCTGGCTTTGAAGAGTGTCTGAAAATTATTCCACTAAGAGGCTTTGGAAGGATGTAGAGGGAAGCAGAAACATGTTAGTGGCTCACCTCGGAAAGGAGCTGCACTTCACACCAGGAAATCCCAGCACAGGCAAGTTGAACTGATCTCCCGCCAACCAAGACACATGGGGAAATACAGATCAGTCTAACAAGGTGCGCTAAGCCCCCCAGGATGCACAACCCATGAAAAGCCTGACCTTGGGCTATGGCACAACAGTAGTGTCAGTGGCACTGTAAGCTCATTCCTAAAAGCCTGATTTTGATGGGCATTATTCCCCAGTATTGCATAAAGTCAACGTGCTTCAGAGAAGTCTGGGGTCAGTCGAGGACAAACCCACGAGCAGAAGGTCAAGGATCCTACTTGGAAGGGCAGCAGCTATTTGCCTTTCTCAAGCAAAACCTGTGCCCAGGTTAAAGACACTTGCAGGGTTCGAACAGAAGTCTTGCATCATGCATGTGATACTCACATGCTTTATTATAGGCCCAGGAGAATCTGTTCTGCTTGCCCGATTTTCACATATGCCTTTGGGCCAAATTCACTGCTGCGTAGCACGAGTGAGTGCAACTCCAGAGACTGCCGTGGAGTGGCAGCCACTGATGGATCTGGCTAATGGACCTCCATGGGGCTCCTCAACTCCCTCCAGAACGAGGCACGAATGCCCCGCGCACTACCTGTACCAGACAGCACAGCACCTGCATCGCGCTAACAACCGTGGCTGCGCTTGCTACCAGACCCCACCGCACCACGCCGGGAGCGTGCGGTCAGGGTGGGCGACGACAAGGGCGACATTTCCACTCCTCTCCTGAAGCCACACAAGGGACCAGATCAGTGGCACGAAAGCCGGGCGCCCCTGGGCTAGTCGCCGGGCTGCTGACCCCACATTTCCCCGTGCGTGCCAAGCAGCGGGGCAAAGCGAGCGGGCCTGGCGGTGGCAAGGCACCCGCCACGCAGGGCGACGAGGCCACAAGCGCGAGGGCTCCCGCAGGAGAGGTAAAGTCAAGTAGCTCACGCTGCTCCGAGCTCTTCACACCCGGCCTGCTCAAAAAGTGCATTAGCCTCGATTAAAAAAAAAAAAAAGACAGACAGACTGGCTCGGGAGCCCAGCTGCAAACTTCTCCAGGCGGTGGCCGGAGG